TTGGGATTAACTAAGCCAAATTTTGTTTAGTCTGCCATCTTCCTTAGGGAGACCTGCCAGAATACGTTGGAACTGGGCTCTATTCCATTAAACAAACTGTGCTGAGTGGTATGTTATCTGTCTTTTGTAAATTATGTGGATTAGCTTTAAAGCTTTATTGTGCTGGATCAACTTCACAAGAGGGGGCACTGAATTTTTTATCGTTTATAACCATGTGAACCATATAATCCAGTGTCTCATATCCTACTCTCACTCTGCCTTAACCTTCCCAAGTGTTATTTGCACCAGTCATGTCCTACTGTTTGTGACCCTATGGACTGCAGCCCGCCAGGCTCCTCTGTCCACGGGATTCTCCAGGCAAGAATATTGGAATGGGTAGCCATTTCCTTCTCCAAGGGCTCTTCCCAACCTAGGGATTGAACCCTAGTCTCCCACATCGCAGGCAGATTCTTTACCATCTGAGCCACCTTAGAAGCCCAACCTTCCCATAGGTAAGCTCATAACTATCAGAAAAGAGCCCTGAACTTTGTTTTGGAGAATTTGGACAGTTCTGTACACAAACAGGTGGGAATCACTAATTTTTCCTCGGGCAGCCCTCCTCCCTGTCCCTTCTCTACATCCTTCCAGTCTCCTGTCTGCCCTGTCCACTACGGGTCCCTGCCCACCTGCTCCACAGGCTTCCCTGGCTAGAACCTTTGAGGAGCTCCACCCAGTTGTGAGTGGAGTTGGAAGGAATCATATGATCTCTTGGGACTCTTGGGTTGAAAGAAGACATCACTCTAGAGAAACACAAGCCTGCAGAGGTTTGCTCCACACAGGAGCCGGATTTCAGGTCACAACACCTGCGTGAAGACCTGTGAAGTAACATGGTGTGGTCCCAGGACCAGGGAAACCTCCATGCCCTCCCGCAGAGCAGAGCACTAGTCAGCCCGGCAGAGGCTCCCACACAGCTGAGGGACCCTGGGGCTGCTTCCGCTCATTATGAGTTTTTCCTAAGTTCATAAGTAAAAATGAAGAATCTAAATCTCCTGAGTCAGAAATCAAGGACTGACTACATTACAGCATAGCTACACAGTCAAACACAATCAAAAGCTTTGCAGTCCATGAAAAATCACACTTTAGAAGAACATTTCATGACATGAAGAGATGCAGAAGTTGCACAGAGCAAGTTTCAGAATGGCCTGTGAACCATACTGTGCAACAGTCAAGCATCATGATTCAAAGTCTGTTTGTAAAAAGCACAATTTATGCACAGGAAAAGCACTGGGAGAATACAGACCAAAAATGAACAGTATTTCTGGGAGTTTTCTAGGATTTCTAGGATAATTTTTTAAAGTTTTTTAAATTTTTATAAATTTTTGTTTTTATTTTTTATAAATTTTATAATTTTTATAATTTTATAATTTTTATAATTTTAAAAAATTTTTATAATTTTTAAATAATTTCTAGGATTATTTTTAAAGTGTTTTTCCTGATTCCTTTTTACACTTTTCCAAACAATCACCCACAAGCATCTTAATGATAAACAAATCAATTCAATATTTCTAAAAGTATTCTAAATATATTCTAAAAATAAAGCTAACCTTCACCAGAAAGCCTATTTGAAAGCTTACAAGAAGACAAAAACGACGTGGATTGTTTTGAGGACAGCCACATCCGAAGCTAGATGCATGGACTAGAGTCTCTGTGGTTGTGAAATTTGTGACAAATGCCCACGCAAGATGACTTTTTCTTCCTGATTGTCTGCAGTTTGTTTTCTTCCACCTCAGTTGGTGGATAGCAATGCGTTGAAATTACGCCTTAAGAAAAAGCTATCATTTAAAATACGTAAATTTCCAAGCTTTCAAAGGCTAAAAGGCAATGTCCTACTTTCACCAAGTTAATGGAGGAAGAAACTACAATAAGGCAGCTACATGCAAACATATGTGTATACATACACATATATGTGTATATATAAATGTATATATATTGCATTGTTTAGCTCAAACTATCTATACTCTGATAAACCACCTAACTTCAAACGACTCTATAAGAGTATGGTGATGAAGCTTTTAAACTTTTTAAAGGTATTATCTTCAAAGTGCTATAATAACTTACAACCATAATTTTAAGTTTGAGGTAATCCCAATGAAAGATAAAGATGGTAAGTTATTACACTATTAGGACTGCTATTATCCACACACTTGGTTGGCAAGTCTGGTTTACCACCTGTTGTAACTAGTGAGCTAATAATGGTTTTTGCATTTTTAAGTGGTTGGGAAAAATCAAAATAGTATTTCATGAAATGTGAAAATATTTTGAAATCCGAAGTTCAGTGTCCACAAAGTTTTGCTAGAACCTAGACAAAACCTTAAAATCTAGTACGGGGCTACTTTTGCACTAAAATGGCTTCCTGGAAGAATTGTCAACAGAGACCATAGGCCTGCAAAATCTAAAATATTTACTAACTGATCCTTTACAGAAAAGGTGTTTTCAAGGTGGTTCAGAATAGTCTTTGTATTTCCTATTATCAGTCTCTAGATGGCAGAAAAGAGCCTTAAATTGGGGTGTGTGGCGCGACCACAGCCCCATAGAAGGTATACAACTTACATTTCCAATTAAATCATCCCTTAAAAGTCCAACAGTGCAAAACTTTTTGCTCTATGTGTTCAATAAAACCAAAAATTAAACTTCTAGTAGAACAGAAATATTCATTCAGTCTGGAACTAATGATCTTGCAACAGTAAAAACATTTTTCTATATGTGTTCAATAAAACAAAAATCATATGTGTAGAAGAAACTAAAAAACTCACTCAGCCTAGAACTAATGTCTGCACTGAAATTTTGTATCTATCCACTTCTGCTTAAAATAAATATTATGTAAATCCACATCATTAAAGAGACTTCTCAGTGCCCCCCAGCTTTATTGAGGTACAATTGACGTGTGAAACTGTAGTATATTCAAAGTGGACAGCATGATGCTTTGATATAAGCATAGATTGTAAAATGATGCGTAGAACCTCAATCAAGTTAATAATCACTTCACATAGCTACTCTTTTTCTTTTCTTTTTCGTGGTATGAAGGTTTAAGGTCTATTCTCAGCACATGTCAGTACAATGTTATTACAATGCATTGCTACTACTACAGTGCCCCTGTATATAGATCCTCAGAATTTACTAATCTCATACCTGAAAATACGTACCTTTTTCCACCTCTGCCTATACTCCCCACCCTCCAGCGCTTAGCAACCTCCACTCCCCTCTCTGTTTCTAGGTTTGACTTTCTGTTTAGATTCCACATAGGGGTGAGGTCATACAGTATTCCTCTTTCTCTGACTTATTTCACTCAGCACAATGCCCTCCAGGTTCATCCAGGTTGTTGCAAATAGCAGGACTTCCTTCTTTTTCATGGCCAAGTAACATTCCTTATGTGCGGTACTTAGTCGCTCAGTCGTGTCCAACTCTTTGCAACCCCATGGACTGTAGCCCGCCAGGCTCCTCTGTCCATGTGATTTCCCAGGCAAAAATGCTGGAGTTGGTTGCCATTTCCTCCCCCAGAACATTCCTTATATATGTATACTATTCTTTCTTTTGTCATTTGTCCATCAACAAACACCTAGATGTTTCCATGTCTTGGCTCCTCTGTTTTTCATGTCCATGTATCCTAAAGAATTCACCCCGTATCTTCTAAAATAATGACATTTTCCCATATAACCACACACAACCATGCACCTAAGAACTAACAGGAAGTCTGTACTATCAGCTAATGACCAGTGAATATTGAAATTTCCCCATTTAATCTCAAAAGGATTTGTCCTTAAACTGAAATGTGATCCAGAGTTTGGCTTCTCATCTGTCTGCAGGCTTCCTTGCTTCTCCTTTGAAGTAAAACAGTCTTTGCCGACACCCTTCACACACACTTCTTTTTCAGAATGCTGATTTTTTAAGAGACCAGGTCCTTTTCCTTACATTCTACATTCTGGATTTAATGACTGCTTCCCTGTGGAGTCAATTAAACCACATTCCTGCCCCTTATATTTCCTGGAAATTGGAGGTTAGGTCTAAAGTCTTAATTATACAGTGCCTCGTTCCCCACACTGTATCCAGCCTAGAAGTCTGAAAGGTCAAGAGACCCCACTCTGGTAAAGTTTGTTTGGGTCAACTGGTCAAGGTGCTGACTACCCCAGAAGGGGCTTAGCAAATATCAGTGAGCTTACACTCTATCATCCTTGTAAACAATCTTCATCCCAGGAGCCTCTTTAAGTCATGGTTTCAATTTGTGAATAGATTTAAGTATCTCATGAAGAATTGGTAAATGGTAGTTTTCTAATTCTAGCACTCCTTTCCCTTCATTAGCTAGTGACATCCTGTCAGGAGTTTTCCCTCATTAACTGAGAACAGCCTAGAATTCCTTCCAAAAAGTCAAAATAAATGCTGGGTTCTTTACCTTGAATTCCCATTTTCATATAAGACTTTGGGATAATAGTCAACTTCAACTGAAGCACATAAAATCTCTCTCTCTCTCTCTCTCTCTCTCTCTCTCTCTCACACACACACACACACACACACACACACACACACACACACACCATGGACTCATGTGTTTTTACTTTTACATTTTTATGGTCACTCAGTTCTTTTTGACCCTCAATTTGTCCTCTGTTTGCCCTCAAGAGCACCCTCCCACGGATGCTCTGATATGTCCTTCTTATTCTTTGCTGTAAAACATTCTCCCTGGTCTCCTTCCTCAACTGAGACCATGTGTCTGCTCTTTGTTGCAAACAACAGCTTCCCTCCGCTTCACCCCAGCAGCAACCCCACCCGAAGCAACACCTCTTCCCTCCAGACCGGGTAGCCAACACATTCAAGGCAGAGACTGTGTCCCCAGCCCCACCAAAGCCCGGCTGACCTACCAGTGGGCATCAGAAGAAACTTAGCAGATTTTCAGGGCCTGGTAGGGGCCTCCCAAGGGCTTGAGGATTATCTTACGGAACCGTCAAATGTCCAGCGATGCCTCTTACCTGGCATAGTAGTCGTTGGGGGGAACGGCTTCCTGGAAGAACTGGAACTGGTACAGATAGAGTCCGATCAGGTGTCCCGCGGTGAAGATGGCCAGCAGTACGCAGAGACAGCTGAACAGCAAGGGGTCGAAGGTCCGGCACCAGGACCACCAGGTGCACAGGCCCAGGAACACGAAGAAGTACACGGACGAGGTCAGAGAGGGCAGCATCATCCCTGCAGGGGCAGGGGCGGGGCACGTGTGAGAAAGGTGGAGAGGAGGAAACCCAGCACAACTCAGCCTCCCTCACTGCTGGGGATGATGAGGAATTCCTCCTATGCTTGTAGTAAAATTCATCACACTCTCTCGATGAAATCAGAATTAGTGCTATTTGTATTGTGAAAAAAAGTCACAGGTAAAGTGAAATTTATAAACATGAGGAAATATCAAATGATGAAGAAACCCTACCTGTGGCACTTGAGCCCGGACAACAAACATTCACTTCTCCAACCAGTAGAATTTAGCATGTTTATTTGCCTGTTTCTATTCTCTATTTCTCCCCCAGTTTTTCAGGAATACTGTATGTCTGTTCTAACTGTCCTCGATAACTTTTTAAAATAATGATTTACTTTTGCCTGTCTGTTGATGAGGGTTCATGATAATATTGCATTCAGTGGCAGATAAAACCTCACTAAATCTTTGTCCTGCCCGACAAAATGTGATTCGCTCTATCACTAAAAGTGGAAATGTCAAATGAAATCATTCCTTCATAGGCATTTAAAAACTTTGCAGGGAGCATTTTGAAACAACTTCTTATTAAAGTCCTGAGTTACATTTCTTGAGAAATACTCTTCACTTTTCTATCTTTTAACTCTCCCATGGAAAAACAGTTGCTTCATCTCGTGAAACTTCACAGAAGCAGGATGGAATAAAGTTCACAGCAGCTCTGGGGCAATGGGGACGGGGCAAAGATGGAGATAAGGTTTTTATGGAAGGAGCAGCCTGCAGCCAACAGGGAGAGGAAGTGGGCGTGTGTGCTGGGAGATTACCATCTAACCGTGGAAGAAAAACACTCTATCCTGAAAAGTTAAATTAAGAGACCTACTGATTCAGTGTAAACCGACAAGCTTCCGAAAGCCCATGTGTAGCTCTGGATGGGGACAGAAAAGGGTCTCTTGTCACAGATCACCACCTACAGACTCTGAGGGAGGTGAACAGTGGTCCTGTTGGTCACGTAGAAAACACCACCACCTAACTGCTACGGGAAAAGACTGCTTTACAGAGGTTAACAAAAACCATCTAATACATTAAACCTACAGCTGAACGGGAAAAGCTGTGTGTGTGTGTGTGTGTGTGTGTGTGTGTGTGTGTGTGTGTGTGTGTGTGCACACGTGCGTGCGTGTGTGTGTGTGTGTGTGTGGTTTGTACACGTGGCCAGTTTCACAAAGCTAGAGTTATGATTTTGTTGCCGCAGAATAGAACTGTTTCCTTCTTTCATCATTCGCCAGCTCACTCCTGTGCACCCCAGGACTTGGAGGTTCTCACCTGATGAACCCAGTAAAATCGTCACAACAACCTTCCCCGCAGTGGTTATCATGTTGCCAATAAACTCCTTCAGCTTGGAGGCCACGGAGGCCAGCCTGCGGAAGAGTTTTAATTTCGTGCTTTCCTCCAAGTCGCCTTCAGCACCGTCTCCTTCATCTAAGTCCTCTTCATAGATCAGGGCCTCTTCGGAGTCTATTTTTTCTCCTCCAGCCTAAATAAATGAAAAACAGAAAACACTGCAGTCTCTGCCTATCCACCCAGAATATTACATGGTTTGTAATTTGCCGGTAGGTCAGTGAGGTGAATTTCAGAAATGAGGAAAACATGCAGACTACCACTCAACCACGTAAGCCCCCTCAAGTCTCTGGTGGTCCCTGTGTGAAGCCCAAAGAACTTTGATCTTTCTTCAAGGCATAAACAGGAAGCATCGCTAATGACAGGGTCCCCAACAGCAGGTCATCTCACCTACACGAGCTCATTTTATTTTACACACAGAAGCCAAAACTGTCTGAAACACCTATTCATAGCTTAGCTTTCAGCAATCTGGGTTTGGTTCCCCAGATTTACTTAATGTGCCACTAAGGTGATGGGAAGTTTGATGAATGGGCTTAAACGGAAAGGATGGGCCAGATCAGCACTGAGGAAATCCCTTCTCTTTCTGGAGTTTATCTTTGTTCACTATTTTAGTATTTCCTGCCTGTGGGAGGACGAGTGGTCCCGGCTACTTGGCTAAATAAACAGTCGCTTCCTATCTCATCCATTTAGAGAATTGTGCACGGGTCCAATCCCAGGCCACGTGGGACCTCAGGACCACCACTAGAGATTCAGAAGGAAACACATGCACAGCACATACACACTTACATGGATTATTTTAAACTGTGTATACCATGGGCTTTTTTGTTCATTTTGAAAGAATACATAAAATTTTTTTTTGGATAATTACAATCTTTCCCTGGAAGGGTTAGGATTTTTTTTTTTAACGGAATTATAAATATAAACCCTTCTGTTAAGATAAAAGGAGCCTGTCTCAGATGCAGGACAGGCTTCATCTTGAAGAGACAGCAGCTTCTGCAGAGTCAGACAACTCTGAGGCCCAGATCAGACATCGAGTCCAAGCAGTAACCTGTTTGCTTCATTTTCCCATTTTAAAGATTCTTTCTTTTTAAAAATTTTTATTGAATGAAAGATCCTTTAAACTCTACGGTGCTTTACAGTTTCAAAGATTTCACACATATTTCATCTAATTCCATAAGTCTTTTTTCCCTACACCACTACTAACTGCTAGTTTGTTCTCTACACATGCATGCCTACTTCTTTTTTGTTTCATTCACTAGCTTGTTGTATTTTTTATAGTTCACAGATAAAGTGATATCAAACAGTACTTATCTTTCTCTGACTTATTTCACTGAGCATAATGCCCTTCAAGTTCATCCATGTTGCTGCAAATGGTATTACATCATTTTGTGGCTGAGTAATATCCTATTGTGTGTGTGTGTGTGTGTGTGTATACATCACGTCTTCTTTATCCATTCTTCTGTAGATGAACGTTCAGGTTGCTTCTCTATCTTGGCTGTCGTAAATAGTGCTGCTGTGAACACTGGGGTACCTATTTCTTTTCCAATTAAGGTCTTTGTTTTTTTTTCAGATATATATTTATATATACATATGTATATATTTCTTGATATGCTTAATTCAGAATTACATAATATTCACTGCTGGTGTCTCAGCTTCCATCTCACTGGAGGAAGATGGGCATAGGAGGCTGGTGCACAGCTCAGTAAGTGCTGAGTGACCTGAGGGCTCAGACCTGCTATTTGCCTGGGTGGATACCAGCCACTTGGGATTTACACTGGCTGTTAATGAAGCCAAGGCTACAGGATGCACTCCCACCCCTGTGCACGCATACACACACACACACACACACACACACACACACACACGCACACCATACATACACACACACACACACACACACGAGGATGTAATCCCAGGCTATTCAAGTCTGTATACCCAAATTGTGCATTATACTATATTTCATCATAGCACATCTGTACTTTTTCCAGAAGGAGGAAGAATATCTTAGGCTTGTGCATGAAGATTTTTCAATCTGCTCAGAGCCCATTATGCCTCAGTGTCACTAGTATGAGACAGAAGAGCACACACACTAGTAAGAGATACAAATAAGTCAACAACGAAATATCTCACAGAGACACTTGCTATTCCAAGAATTAAAACAGAGTGATGTAATTGAGGGAGTCAGGGCGGCTGTTTTAGATTCTGAGTTCAGGGAGAGCCTCTCTGAGGAGGTGACATTTAAGCTGAGCTCTGAATGTCACAGAGCCACCAGCCATGGGTAAATTCTAGCCAGAGCCTTCCAGGCAGCAGGAAGGGCTGGCCAAGCCTCCATAGCGCGTCCCCAGACCCACTTCCTGTTACACCTGGTCCTCCTCCTCACTATCAGCTGATGCCCCTGCATCCCACCTCATAGAGACATGGGGCTGAGCTCCAGTCAGTGCAACACCAGCAGCCCCACCTGGGATGATGGGAGAGCTACAGAGCTGGGGTACCAGGAGGAAAGCCCACCACCCCCTGCCCTGCGTCACCTACAGAGGGAGTTTCGAAGCAAAACTCTTCGAGAGGTGGCTGGACTCAGAGCAGGACTTGACTGATGCTTCACTTCTCTTGAACCCAAGGTAAGAGGACTCTGATCACCAACCACTCCACCCAGTGAGGGGGACAAGGGGATCCCTTTCCTAGAGCAACTCCAGCAGCTGCAGTAGGGGAAGAGTAAGGAGGCCCTGCAGCCAGGAGGCTGTGCTGGTGGAAGAGGGGGCGGGGAGTGGAGCTGAAGAGGGTTCACGTCTTGGGCGAGCATCTCATAAGTCCAGTCAGCAGGCCCCAGTTGGTAAAGTTCACATGGCAGGAGGAGGGAAGAAGGAGAATCAGAGGGAGCTCTTGTCTCTGTGGATGAGGTCAGGATGACCAGAAATGGAGCAAGTTGGGAAGCCAGTTCTAAGGTGGAAGTATCACGGGGGCAGCTAGTGAGGAACCTGGAGTGTAGACAGAGGTGAGAATTGGAGAGGTCTACCTGAGGCTCACTGTCAAAGTGGGATCTGATGAAGTGACCTGGAGAGAACACAAAGTTGCCTACCTGTTGGAGTTGCCACACCTGGGACCAGTCTCTCTCTCCAACTTTATCCTCATCTCTTGGCCCAGAAACATCACACAGAGAGAAACATGTAGAAAACCTGGATTCCACAGGCTCTCTGACATGGGATGTGCTGTTCCCACACTGGGGAAGCCCCTCCCCAGCAGCCAAGTCCCCGGCTCCCAGGCCAACTTTCTTTCAACTTCTCCATCTCCCAAAGCTGAGTTGCTGTGGGGACTGATCCAGGGATACTGTTGCTATGACACCCACATCACCACACACATGGGCATTTGTTGCTTAATACTCCTTGTACAGCAGGTGGGCAACATCCTAAAAATGCCTCTAGAGGAAGAAGATTAGTCCAAAACCTTCAGTCTCTGTACTTGACCAAGGAGACAGAGAGAGGGTACACAGCTAGTGTTGCCTGGGTCATAGTCAGAACACACTCCTAACTTTCACAATAAATGACTTATTGCTCAATTACGGAATTGCTACGGATGTAGATTAAATCAGATAGAAATCTCTAGTCAAGAACCTTCTCGAGTTTAGATGAATGCACTTCCCCGACCTCTCCTGGGCGGGACAGGGACCCTGTGATTTTTATAAACAGACCAGTGTACTTGAGGTTTTTCAGCATTTTTGTTCCGGAATCCCTGGGGCTTTCAGTTGAAAACACTTTCTAAACCTGCCAAACTGAGAGGGAGCCAAAAGTGAGCCCCACCATCCCAGCTGGGGCCAGAAGTGCCATTACTCATGTCAGGTTGGTCTTCTCCCCGAAATGATCCATCTGGAGCAGCATAAACACCAACGCCCTAGAAGCCCCTCAGCTCACTCACCAGCAAGCAGGCTGGGCTGCTGGAGCTGAAATGTGTCCCCACATTGGAACTCAACTGGATCCTAGCCGTGGAGCTAAGAAGGAGTACATGCTAAGTCGCTTCAGTCCTGTCTGACTCTTTGCAACCCCATGGGGTGTAGCCCACCAGGCTCCTTTGTCCATGGGATTTTCCAGGCAAGAATACTGAAGTGGGTTGCCACGCTCTCCTCCAGGGGATCTTCCCGACCCAGGGATTGAACTCCTGTTTCCTAAAGTCTCCTGCATTGGTAGGCAGGTTCTTAACCATTAGCGCCACCTGGGAAGGGCTTCCCTGGTGGTTCATCTGGTAAAGAATCTGCCTGCAATGCAGGAGACCTGGGTTCAATCCCTAGATCAGGAAGATCTCCTACAGAAGGGAATGGCAACCCACTCCAGTATTCTTGCCTGGAGAAGCATGCTTAAACTTTGTCTTTCAGTTTCTTCATAAGAAGGAATAGCTGTAAATAAAGATTTATTTTTTTAGTTCTTGAGCTATCTTAGAAACAAAAGATAAAGAAAGCCTTTATAGTTTAAAAAGCCTAATAAAATATTACATATCAGCATTGTCCAGGTTGAAGTCTATAGCTTATGTAAATAAATGTAAGTGCTTTGACTCATCTTCTTTAGAAGTCTCTGACTTCAAAATGTGCCAGAAGTACTCAGGTAGCATCTCATGTCATGTGAGGACACTCCAAGTGCTATGGAGTCAACTGGGTGTGAGGTCATGGTTCCCTGAGCCTGGACCCAAGCCTCCATGCCTCATCCCATCGCGGCGTCCAGCCCTGCAGCCTCATCCCCAGCAGTCAAGCCTTAGCAGTTACTCCCACTCAGTTCTGGACCAGGAAGACACCGTCAATTACTTCTAGTAGAACCCAGATGTTCATTTTTCCTTATCCCCAAGCACTAAATGAGTCTACCTGTCTTGGACTAAATCCAAGGCTCACCTGGGGCTCTTTAAGAGGCCAGATTACCAGACTCCACCTCACAGTTCCTGAATCAAGAACTCCAGGAGTGAGTCCCAGGAACTTGTCTGATTAAAGTGCTGCATGAGATGATGTGGAAGCAGCCGGCTTAGAATTCACACTCTTCCTGATACCTGTGACCCTGGACAAACTCACCCCCTTGGAAGCCTTGTGTTTGAGTTGGATGCCAGGCAGACTCCCTTGACTGGAAAACATATTGAGGTAATTTATCTAATGGCATCTCCTTC